ATGTGTGTGTGTGTCCACCTACTGGTGGTGCCTACCTCTTGGATGAGTTCGTTGTTTTAATTGGCTCGTCGTTGCGGATGCGCGTGAAGCCTCCGCTGAAGGCTGTTCTATTAGTTGCCTGCTTGCTTGATTTCTCAGTACTGAGATTAATGTTCGAATGAATACGTTTGTACGTATACGACAATCGGACAATCGATTGTACGTGTAGGACATTTGTACAAGGTTTTGTCTATGAGTGTCTTTGCTGTAGAAAATGGTTGCGATTGCGGTGCTTCGTGTGTGCCAGGGTTGATACGAGATATGTATGCAAGTGTGCGTATACTTAGGGAATGTACAAGTAGAACTATAGTACAATATTTGTACTATCGAACGCACAAATGAAACAACAGACATCAACTTACACCTACAATGGCTCGTGGGAGGAGATACCGGCACACACACCTACGCACATGCCAAGCCCCCCGCACCACCACACTCCCCACTGCCACAGTAGGCATACGCGCGCACCCACGACCATCCGATATGTCTCCCAAACCCCTAAAACCTTAACACCCTAAAATCCTAACACCATTAATGCCTACCTGTGGTGCGCATCTCTTGAACGGCTCCCTCGCCCGGTGATGCGTGCACTGCGTGTCTGCCCATGTGTGCTGTGTGTGGCCCTGTCTGTATCTGTATCTCTCCCGCGGTCCCTGTCGCTGGGCTTGGTTGCACCTGTACCCCTGTCGCCCTGTCCCCGTGACGTCACTTTAAGACCGCTTGGACCTCTGACGGATGGTTCATGCGCGGTGTTCTGGGCTTTGGTTTGCCCTCGCCCCACAACACTTCTGCAATGACCAAATCCGTAGACGCGCAGTGCAAAGGACAAACTGATAAGTCATAGTTCCGAACTGCTAAGCCTTTGTGTGGCAATGAGAGACCCTGCACTCGCACTCACCCACTGGCTACGGTGTTCTCCTGTCTACGACTAGCGTCAACACACTTTGCCATATTTGGATTAGAACCTCTTTCCATATTTGGATTAGAACAATTTGGAAGGTTGTACAAACGCGTAGAGAATATCCTACACCGCATGCCAAGTGCAACGGCGAAGCACTCACCACATACACACACACACCCATTCCACGTGCACACACACACAGCCACACACAACACACACACAACACTCAACACAACACACCCGCAACACAACCCCTAACACACACACAACCACATCACATACACAGAACTCAACCCAGACTACCACCCAGCAACTACCCATACACAACTCATCCCCATTGCCACCCACGTAGACACACACTTGGTTTTGGGTGCACCGGTCCCTGCGCCACTCTTCTCAGTCACAGCCTTAGGCGCTCGCACCACCTTCCCAGCCGCCATTTGATCGGCTAAGCGCAGCAGTTCAGCGTACGACAATTTAAATCGGACACACGCGTCTTTTTGGGGCGTGGTCGGTTTTTTGGACGTTGTTTCCTGTTTGGCCGTTGCGTCTTCATTGGACGGCCCGTGTTTTTTGGACACGGTCTGTTTCTTCGGCATTGTTTCGTTTTTGGGCAGGAATTCCTTTTTAGCCACTGATTCTTTTTTGGTATTCGTATTGGGTCCCATGCTGTGAATAGTACTCACTGGTTAGCAGAAAAATGACATTCAGATATTTTTGTAGTAAACAAGCAACTATACACAAACACAAAAATATGTACACAAATATAAGTAATTACATATATATAT